GAGGGAGTAGACTAGAATAACTTTGAGGTTGCTTGTTTGGTGACTGGGAAAATGGTGTACCATTGACTAATCAATTAATGTTTGAGTGCTGTGAGGCAATACATTGATGTTAAATTCACGATGCGGTTTTTGGTCTCTAGAGAGAAACTGAGAAGCACCAACCAGTATTTCACATTGGCACTCTTAAAAGCCCTTGCCATCTCCATCTGTAGAGTCATAGGAAGTTATTCATTAGCAGTTTTTAAATTGCACTAGGGATTGCTTTTATCTGTAATGCCTGAATGTGTACTGTTTATTAGCATTTGAAAGAATACCCTACTTACCTTACCCCCAAGTCATAGATAAGACATTGCATTAACTTCTAAAGTGGCTAGGAGACAGTTGGGAAAGTTGGGGGCCTATGTAGAATCTCTTTGCACAAAGGGCTACTTTTTAAATATTTTGTCCTGTTAATTTTTTTATAGTTTAGTTCTTTGTCAGAGAACATATTTTGTATGATTTCCTTTGAAAATCATTACAGAATTCTTTGTTATCCCACATTTGCTTTTTTTCTGTATCTTCCATATTTACCCGAAAAAAGGGTTTATTTTTCAGTGGATAACATATATATATATATATATATATATATATATATATATATATATATACACATACATACACATATATACACACACACACACATATATATATATGTATATATATATATATATAAAAATCAAGTTTGTGGTCATATTGTTAAAAATATTCTGTAACGTTATATCTTTTACACCTAGTTATAAGCCATATTCTTAGGAACATAAAATGTAGAATCTCAAAATTCTGAATTTCTATGTCTCTGGTTCATTTATCATTTGAGGTGTTTATCTCTTTATCTCTGATTTTGCTTCTTAAAGCCATCCCCCCCCCCCTATATTAATAAAGGCACAATAGGTTCCTTTTTTATTCATGGTTTTGCTTTCCATGGTTTCAGTTATCCATGGTCAACCATGATCCAAAAATTTCAAATGGAAAATTCCTGGTATACTCAATTCATAAGTTTTACATTTTGTGTTATTCTGAGTAGAGTGATGAAATCTCGCACTGTCCTGCTTAGTCCCACCCTTTGTGAATCATCCCTTTGTCCAGTGCAATGTCAACCAAAGGTTGTCATCACCAGTTCAGTGCCAACAGGTGTTCCCCATTTGGGCTGCAGTGAAGGGGAGAGACTTTATTCAGTGCAAACAGCTCAATTGTGAAACAGCTAGGCTGTGGAACAGCTCAGCTATGATTTCAGCACAGCTGTGGAACAGAATGGTTGCAAGATAGCTCAGTATGTACTGAGAGAGTTCAATTATGATACAGCATGGCTGTGGAACAGCTTGTGTGACGCGGCTCTGGTGTCACTGCTCTGCTCTCACAGTACAGTTCCGTTCCCGCTCAGGTGTTATGGCTCCAGCTTAGGTATTACAGCTCCAGCTGGGCTGTTAGGGCTCCAGCTCTGGTGTTAGAGCTCCAGCTCTAGATAGCTCTGGCCAGGGAAACACAGTCTTTGATGCAAACAAAGTGCACTCCACAGAAAGGGAGGATAGTCTGAATTCCATAGAGAGGAGTTCCCACCCCTTGTCCCTGATTGGCCCATTTCTATGCAGGCAAGGTCTCCAGATCCTCAGTTTGATCCAAAATGCACTGTTATGATTAGAATGGAGTTGCTCTGATTGATTGGTAAAGGTGCAAAGAAAGATACAACTATTTTGCTCCGATTGGGTAGAGAAAATCTCAGTCTTATTGGTTAAATTTTGATCCTAGAAGCTCTCTTTTGAGTGTTGATGCGGATAGTAGGAGCCCAGGGAAGGAGGATGGGCAACTCACTTCAGCTTTTCCCTGAAGTGCAGAGAGCATGAGAGGCCCCTGTTTAGCAATGGCTACTCTATTCTGTTTAAAAATTTGACAGTTTCCAAGACTCCTATTAGCCACCAGGAATCTTTCTTAACAGCTATGTTCATTCTCGGTTTGACAGTGTCTATAGTGTATGCTACCTGCCTGTTTAGTCACTTAGTAGCTGTCTCAGTTATCAGATCAGCTGTCCTCATATTGCAGTGCTGTGTTCAAGAGTAGTGATGCCAAAAATTCAGATATGCTAACGAGAAGTGTAAAGCATATGTATGTTGCACAAGAAAAAACATAGTATATGTAGGGTTTGGTCCTACCCATACTTTTAGGTATTCACTGGGGGTCTTGAAAATTGTTCTCTGTGGATAGGGTGGTGGGGGTTGGGGCGGAAGCTAGGGGGTCAGAGAGATTCTTTCCAGTGTACAGAGTACATGAGGAGCCCTTCCAGAAAATGGCTGCTGGACTCTTATCCTATATAATAAAGAGGCAATATTCAAATTGACCATCACACCATCACAAGTTGGCAGCGCCCATGGGGGGGAGGGGCCAACTGCTCTGCATCCCTGCTGCCGGGATCCTCAGGTCTTCCTGCACCCACTACTGACTGACAGCTCACCCAGGCTCCTCCAATAAGCTGCCCATCCCTCTCTTCCTCCCTCCCCCGAAGCTGAAGCCTAACTGTGGTGTCCAACAAATTAGAAGTTATAGCTCATGTTGTTGAGAGTATCCTACATTCCTCATCCGGGGCTGGCCACTCTGCCTGCCTGCCACCTGAGTCCCTTCAGCCTCACCGGGTGCCTCGGGTCCTCCTGCAACCCCCACTTACTGAGGCTCAGGCAAGCAGGGCTGGCCCAAGGTGCAGGCAAGCCCTGGATGGTGGCTGCCCAGGTGCAGGCAAGGTAACCAGCTCAGGTAACCAGCACCAGCTGAGGCTTGTGCTGCCGGCAGTGGCAGCAGCAGAGGTGTGATGGGGCATCACCTTCCCCTGATTGCTGGGTTGCCTCCCGGTCTTACCCACAGAGGACAGTTTCCTAGACCCCTGGTGAATACCTAAAAGTATGGGTAGTACCAAACCCTACATATACTATGTTTTTTCTTATGCACACGTACATACGCTTTATACTTCTCATTAGCATATCTGAATTTTTGGCATCACTACTTTTGTGCTTTGGGGCCATTATGAAGTAAAATAAGGGATTGTTGAACATTGCACTGTAATATATTGTTAAAAATTAAAAAAATTTTTAAAATAAAAATTATAAAGGTCTGAAGAAGGGGCAGGAGAATGGTGGAGGGGATAAATAGGGGGAAATTAAGGGGGCATCTACAATACTTTCAACATTAAAGATAAAAACAAAATAAAATAATATATAAATAATCAGTTAATATTGAATAACAAAAGAGAAAAAAAGGAACATGCAAAAAATGGAATAAATATAATGGGAACCAATAATAAGGTGTGGCCTCCAAGAAGAATAATTAATTTGATATGAATGCTAAGAAAGAATTTATATGCTGAGATGGACTCCCCTTAGATGGGCCCAAATTTTATAAATAACTAGAGGCATGGTGCATGAAAATTCATGCACTGTAGGGGGAAGGGTGTCCCTCAGCCCTGCCTGCCCCCTCTCACAATCCAGGAGCCCCCTATGAGCTTCTGAAAAAAAATTTAGTTGTATAGCTAATTAATCTGAATATAAACCACCATAATGTTGTTTGAGAGTTTGCTTTAGTATATTGGAGGTCTGGTCTATTTCTTATTTCCTAAGGTATATCTGGGTTCCTTCTGTAAGCCTAGGTAATCTACTAGGACCCTTCTACCTTGACAGGTTATAAAATTCAACTTTTGTGTCCCTAGCTCTGTAAGACTGAATACAACTCTGCTTAGCTTCTCTGTTCCCACCTGTGAACAGCAAGTATTTCAGTAGGAAAGTCAGGCTGCATGTCTTTTGCATGCTTTTTTCCCCCTCCAGAATTTTGGCTCTTTAAATCTTGGGAACTCTCCAGTATCTTTAAAAAGATTGATGCATAAATTTAATTAAGCATTTTTAGTTTCTTTTATTGCATAGCAAGTTTCATAAAAGCTAATTTGCTCTTGCCAGAAGGATAACTTTTTTGCTGTTATATTTTTCAGATATTTAGTGCAGTGATTTTTAACCTTTTTTTATCTCATGGTACTCATACACTAATTACCAAAATTCTCGTGACACACCAAAATGTATGTTATAGTTTTTTTATGATCTGACAAAATATTTTAGTATAATTTTGACTACTTGACGCTGGATGGCTATTGTTGTGTTGGTTATTGTCATTTTTTAATTTGACAATCTAGGGGGAAAAAAGATCAGTGTCCCTTACTAGTCAGGTGTTGCATGTTTTAAAAATTCATGTGGTACACTGGTTGAAAATGGCTGATTTAGTGTGAAATAATATTACTTTATTGAGTATGATGTCAGAGAAGACAGGAAATATTTTTCATTCCCAATAACAGTGAAATATGTGGTGTATGTGTATACATATATTTAATTGATAATATTAATCTTTTATTTGTTTATTTTTTATTCTTTATTGTTTAAAGTATTACATACAGTGTTAACATATGTCTCATTTTTCCTCCATTGACCTCTCCCCGGCCACCCCTGCCCCTGCACATGCCATCACCCCCTTAAGTGTCTGTGTCCATTGGTTATGCTTATATGCATGCATACAAGTCCTTTGGTTGATCTCTTAACTCCTTACCCTCTCCCCTGCCTTCCCTCTGAAGTTTGACAGTCTGTTCGATGCTTCTCTTTCTCTGGATCTATTTACATACTTCAGTTTATATTGTTTATTATATTCCACAAATGAGTGAGATCATGTAATATTTATCTTTCTCTGACTGGCTTATTTTGCTTAGCATAATGCTTTCCATGTCCATCCATGCTGTTGTAAATAGTAAGAGTTCTTTTTTACAGCAACATAGTATTCCCTTGTGTTCTAGTAGATATACCACCATTTTTTAATCCACTCATCTGCTGATGGGCACTTAGGCTGTTTCCAAATCTTAGCTATTATAAATTGTGCTGCAATGAACATAGGGGTGCATAAGTCCTTTCATCTTGGTGAATTGGTGAATCTTCATCTTTTTATAGGTTGCTGAGCCAAACAATGAAGGATCATCTAGTAAGAGTAGCAAATGAAGCTGAATTTATCCTGAGCAGGCAGCGAGCAGAGGATATTCACAGACATGCGGAATTTGAGGTAGGTTCCATATATGTTTGGTGTGAGGAAGTTATCAATGCATAGGTAAAATGGCAGGATTGTGTAAGCAAACATGTCACAAAAAAATTAAGACTTACTTTGTGAGAGAATCACAGATGTTTACAGAAAGATAGTGCACGTCTCTAGCCCTCTGGTCTCAACTCAAATTTATCTACAAGTTAATTTGCAGCAGGTTCTGTATTTGGGTGCACTGGGTATTGAATCTGGTTGTTTTAAATAAAGTAAAGTAAATTAATGAAGGACCTTTGTCCTCTCTGAGCTAGACAGAACTAGTTAACTGGAAATGAAAACCCCTTTGGAAGAGATAAGATCTTCTAGGTTTCTAGAGAGAAGCTGAACACAGGCTTGGAGTTTCTTTACCCTTGTAATTTGAGAGCTCGCTAACCTTTGGAGCAGAGGAAGGGAGGGAGCATATAGCTTTCTTCTTGGATTCTCACTGAGGGACCAAGTGACAATCCATCCAATGATTTCTGTGTACTCAACAGTTACACCTGTACATGTGTGTAACAGGTGTTAATTCATAAAGGGAGTTAATGGTATTGTAGCTATATAAATTAGCAAATTCGACATCTAAGGTGAGCAAGACAAATTTTGAAAAAATATTTGCTAATAATTGGAAAAAAGTTAAAAGCACCATTTGGTTCTTTCTAACATGTTATGAACAGATAATTCAAATGTTGCTGATATTTTTCTGGTACATTAAAGAAGATGACCTCCCCGGTGCATTTTATACAACCTGAAAAGGTTATTGGAATAATAAAACTCCAAAAGATAAATATTATTTATGAATATGGCTACAAAATTCTAACTAAAACTTTAATCAACATACTCCATAATGTAATAAAATAATTATATACTAATAAGTATATACTAAGAACTATATACTTAGATTTTATTCATGGAATTCAAAGATGGTTTAATATTAAGATATCTACTTCTTAAGTAAATTATATTATACCTAAACAAATTAAAATAGAAAAGTTATGTAAAGATATAAGTAAATGCAGAAAAAAAACACGTGATAGATTTTATTTATTTTTTATTTTTTTAAAGGATTTGAAAATATGTTTTATTTAAAATTTAGATAACATCTTTTCTCACAATGTTAATGATTTAATTTGCTTCAGTTGTTATTCAAATCAACTAAAAGTGTATCAAGTTAGGATAATATGAATTATAGAGGGGGGCAATGGTATATGTACACACATAATTTAATTTAAAAAAATTAAAAAAAATGAATTATAGTATTAGTTATAGTTATTAGTTATCTGTAACAATAAAAGTGTAATATGCAAATCGGTGGAACAAACAAACAGCAGAATAAGGACAGTCGTTCGGATGACCTTCCAGATAACCATGCTATATAGATTTTAGTAGCCAGCCCTATAAGACTTTGGGGAACAGAATGTATATATTATAAGTTAATTCAGTACCTCACCCCCTTGTTTATTAGTCGGAGTTTTCTTAGTGTCCAGGTTTCTGATTTTGACTTAATTCTTTTTCTTTTCTTTTTTAATGTATAGGGGGCTCATGTGTGCTGTAAACTTAAACTTCTTTTATGTTTATTTCCATGCTGTCTTTATTTTGGAATGACATTCTGATGTTTTGGCTAACACTTGAATTCCTTTAGAACTTTATAAATATTGCTTTGCTTTCTTCTGCTTTCAGAGAAATTTGAGGCTAGTCTGATATTTTTCTCAGTTGATGATTTCCTTTTTTTTTTTTTTTTTTTTCCCCCTTTCCTGTTTGAGATTTCTTTATTTGTTCATGAAGTTCAATTTCAACAGCAGTATGACTCAGTATTAAACATTATTCATAAAATTTCCCTGGAATGTAGTCTTTAGTTATACTGTAAATTCAGTTCTTGGAAATTGTTTTAAATTAAAATTAGAAAATTCTCATTTTATTTCCTTTTTCTTTACTTAGCTATACATTCATTATTACATTCATTAATCTATGTCTTTCATATCTCTCTTATAGTTACTTCTTAGAACCTTTTGGTGACTGCTTCAATTTCTTCCATAGCTTTGGCCTATTGAGATTTTTAGATTCTTCCTGATTGAGTTTTGGAAGGTTTTATTTTTCTAAGAATATGTCCATTTCCTCCAGGTTGTCCAGTTTGTTGGAATAGAGTTGTTCATAGTATTTTTTAACAATCCTTTGTATTTTGGCGGGGTCTGTTGTTAATTTCTTTGCTTTCATTTCTGATTTTGTTTATTTGGGTCCTCTTTCTTTGTTTCTTGGTGAACCTGGTTAGAGGTTCATCAATCTTGTTTATCCTTTCAAAGAACCAGCTCTTGGTTTTGTTGATTTTTTTTTTCTCTATGTCATTTATCTGCACTCTGATTTTTATTATTTCTACTTAAACTGGGCTTCTTTTGTTGCTCTCTTTCTAACTCTTTAAATTATTTTTTTCCAATAGGCTTGTAGAGCTGTGACCTTCTCTCTTAAGACTGCTTTTGCTGGCTCCCATAGATTTTGGATTGTTGTGTTTTCATTGTTGTTTGTTGCAATGATGTTTTTTTATTTCTTCTTTGATCTCTCTGGTAACCCAGTCATTGTTTAATAGCATGCTATTTAGTCTCCATGTGTTTGATTTCTTTGAATTGTTTTTATTGTAATTGATTTCCAGTTTTATGCCACTGTGATCTGAGAAGGTGCTTGATAGGATTTCTGTCTTCTTGAATTTGAAGAAACTTTGCCTATGACCCAACATCTGGTCTATCTTTGAAAATGACCCATATGCACTTGAGAAGAATGTATATTCTATGGCTTTGAGGAAGAAGATAATGTGGAATTGAAAGAAAGAAAAATAAAATAAAAGAGGAGCCCCTCTCTCTTTCTCTCTCTCTCTCTCTCTCTCTCTCTCTCTCTCTCTCTCTCTCTCTCTATATATATATATATATATATATATATATATATATATATATATATATATATATATATGAAAATAGGAAAAAAATTCTTTTAAAACACTGTGTTATGCAAGAGATTAAACTGACTTGAATCAACCAGTATATATATGTTTTAACTAATCCTTGTAATAAACCTCTGAAGTAATGCTGTTATTATCTCTTATTTTATAAATGATAAAACAGCATAAGAAGGCCCAGCTGGCTTGGCTCGGTGCTTGAGCATTGTCCTATGAACTAGAGGTTGCTGGTTCAATTCCTGGTTAGGGCACATGCTGAGTTTGAGGACTCGAACCTCAGTGAGAGGTATGTGCAGCTGATCAGTGATTCTCTTTCATCATTGATGTCTTTAACTCTCTCTCCCTCTCCCTTCCTCTCTCTGAAATGAACAAAAACATATTAAAAAATAAACAAACAAACAAACAAACAAAGAAAAACAGCACAAGGAGGATATAGCCCAGAGTTAAAGCTAGAATTCAGATCTAGGTAATTTATCTCTTAATCTTTAATCTATGCTTTTTATTCACATTCATTAGATTTCTATAGAATGTGTGATAGGATTTATTATTGGCATACACAGCAGCTTTATTTTGTACTATTTAATTTTATACTTTATCTAGTACAGTTTTTTATTTTTTATTTTTCCTTGCTTTGTAATATTGTAATATAATAAACTGCTAGAGGCCCGGTGCACGAAATTCATACACGGGAAGGGTCCCTAGGTCTGGCCTGCAATCAGGGCCCATCTGTGCTCCGACCGGGAGTGGGGGGGAGGCGTCCCCCCACACTCTCCCCCCCCTGGCTTTTACCTGCATTGGCCTGGTACCGCCCACTTGCTGGCCCCACCCTCCCCTCCACCATCGCCAGTCCCTCCCTCTGCAGGGCGATTGGCAGGATGACCAGGGATCTCCTGCCAGCACACACCTTAGCTGGCCTGGCACTGCCTGCTTGCCGGCCTCACTTCTGTCCTCCCCACCCCCTGCCACCATTGCCGGTTGGGGCCTGTGGGCTGGGGGCTGTTCCTGCATTGAGCATCTGCCTCCTGGTGGTCACTGTGCATTATAGTGACCAGTTGTTCCGCTGGTCATTCTGCCATTCAGTCAATTAGGGTTTTATATAGATTAATGATAATAAAATATATACATATAAAAAGCCAGTAACCGAAATGCTGTAATGACCAGAACGACTGGTTGCTATGACACCCACTGCAGTCAGCAAACCAGTCCAATCATGGTGGGGCCAGCAGCCAATCTCCCTCGGTCCCTTCCCCCTGCCAGCACCATTCTTAATGGGCCCCCACCGTTGCAATCAGCCTGCAGCCCCTCCCCCTGGCCAGCCCCACCCCTGATTGCACCCCTTACCCCAGTTAGGATGGGGCAGACTGGCCAACCTCCCATTGTCTCCTCCTCCTGACAGGCCCGGCCCTGATCTGCCCTAATCAGGGCCAGACCACAGGACCCCACCCGTGCACGAATTCATGCACTGGGCCTCTAGTCTTACCTAATAATAGACAAACATATAAATTGGTCATACCTCTGCTACGCCCACAGACAATCAGAGTGAGTATGCAAATTAGAAGGCCGAAGATGGTGGCCACCCAGCTGCTCCAGGCACAGAGTGGCCAGGTGGGACAGGATGCCTGCTATGAGAGGGAGGGTGTGTGTGTGTGTGTGTGTGAAGGGAAATACAGGATTGGAGTGCTACAGTGAAGACAAGACTGCAGACTCTGGAGTCTGCAGCGTAGATGAAGATGAGAGACTCCGGCGGAATCTGCAGCAAAGACAAAACGGCAGACTAGCTGAAGCGAAGGCCTGGGTCCTGGGTGCTGGAGGAAAACCCAAGCTGGAAGCCAAGGGAAGGAAGGCCTATTGCATGAATCTCTTCATGCAATGGGCCTCTAGTATTTAAATAAAATCCAAGTTTTTCCAAATAATGTTATTGTTACCTTAGTTTTTAGTGGAGAAAATAGATTTGTTCAAGTACTGCACATGACGGTCTCTTTTAAGAGAGAAAGCATATATTTTTAATTCTTAGTAGGCTTATTTTCACAGAAAAAGAATTCCCTTT